CTGCAGCGGGAACTGTGGTTCCAGTGGTATGACCGTCAGCTACGCTAACTATTTTCAGCACCCGTTTTCGGGACCTTCCATGTTTACTTTTCCATTTCTGCCCTTCAACCCTTTGTGCAGCAACGGCTACATCAACACGCAGCAGTACAACAGCAGCACGACGTTCCCCGTGGTCCACACCGCCTACAACAGCGGGTTGGCACCGGACTCCGTCATGACCGGGCAGTCGACGTTCGCGGTGCCGCCAATGCAGAACTTTATGGCAGGGACAGCGGGGGTGTACCAGGCGCAGGGAATGATGGGCAACAGCAATGGTTCGAGTCACAAAAAAAATGGGAATCTCTCCTGTTACAACTGTGGGGCCAGTGGTCACAGGGCTCAGGACTGCAAACAGCCTCCGATGGATTTCAATCGACAAGGTAAGAGCAGGCGGAGGGACCGGCGCGGGACGTGGCGCGCGGGCAGAGCGTGCCCTTTAGCCAAGGGGAACGGCCACCCCGAGGGCAGGAGGAATTGTGATGGTGCTGTGTCTGTTCGTTTCCCACTTGCATTCCCACTTGCATAAAAATAATGTCGTTTTTGAAAGCTGGTGGTTTTGAGCTGCATTTGCAAAAGTTGAAGCTTGGTTTTGTGCAGACCCAACGGGAGGACGGGGCCCAAGGAAGACCCGGGTGCTCTGCGGGGCGTGTGCTGGGACAGGGAGAAGCACACGCTGCAGGAGGGAGGGAGCTTCTGCGGGCAGATGGCAGAGGAATCCTTGTTGCTCCTTACACCTTGTCATCCGTTTGGTTACAACTGCAAGTTCCCCTGGGAGTTTACAAACCGAACATCTCTGTTCCCCCTTTCTCTTCCTCCCCAAAACAGTGACCTAAATGAAGAATCGCTGTTCAAGTGCCCCAGAATCATAGAATCACAGAACGGTTTTGGGTGGAAGGGACCTCAAAGATCATCCAGTTCCAAACCCCCTGCCATGGGCAGGGACACCTTCCACTACACCAGGTTGCCCAAAGCCCCATCCAACCTGGCCTTGAACACTTCCAGGGATGGGGCATCCACAGCTTCTCTGGGCAACCTGTGCCAGTGCCTCACCACCCTCAGAGGGAAGAATTTCTTCCTTAGGTCCAATCTAAGTCTCCCCCCTTTCAGTTTAAAGCCATTGCCCCGTGTCCTGTCACTACACGCCCTTGTCCAAAGCCCCTCTGCAGCTTTCTTGAAGCCCCTTTAGGCACTGGAAGGTGCTGGAAGGTCTCCCCGGAGCCTTCTCTTCTCCAGGCTGAACAGCCCCAACTCTCCCAGCCTGTCTCCATAGCAGAGGTGCTCCAGCCCTCGCATCATCTCTGTGGCCTCCTCTGGACCCGCTCCCGCAGCTCCATGTCCTTCTTCCGTTGGGGGGAAGGTCCTGTGTTTGCTGCTATACTGATTTTGCAGGGTGTGTCACTTACATGGTTACAGCACGGGCTTCTCCAGGAGAGAGGTGAAATCCTTAATTGCAGGCTGGAAACAACTGAGAGAGAAATGCTACTTTATCGAGAGCACTTTCTAGTCCCATTAAAAAATTCTCTTTTATTTTCATAGAATCACAGAATCACTGAATGGTTTGGGTTGGAAGGGACCTCAAAGATCATCTAGTTCCAACCCCCCTGCCATGGGCAGGGACACCCTCCACTACACCACGGTGCAGACAAGGTCTCAAGTATTCGAGCACTACAAATTAAGGAGTTGACTGCTTTTGAGGCAGCAATTAGCAGCAGTGCTAAAATGGAACTAATGAGTGGAGTTTCTGTGGCTGATGTTTTGAAGAAGTGACGCTGCCTTGTCAGCCCTAATTCGGAGAACTTCAGAAACACAGTCTGCTGTCTTTTTAAGCTGCATTTCATTTCACTAATTAAATATCCATTTACACTATCCCAAACGGGTTTTGGCCAGCCCTAAAGCTCTGTCTAAGGCGGTGACTTGTACTGTGCAAAGCCGTGCTGGGATTTTCACCGCGGCGCTGCACGCCGGCGTTACGCTGGAGTATTTGCGTCACGTGTTGAAGTGACAGGTTGTTTTAGGAAGTTGGGAGGGGGAGCGGGTGTGAAAAGGCTGATGTTGTTTAATTCTTCTGTTTCCTCTCCCCCAGGTACGTTTAGGCTGAAATACGCTCCTCCCTCGGAAAGTCTTGACTCCACGGACTGACATTTTATATGGCAAGAAAATACTGTAAGCCATGGAGATGTAAGGAGATTGAAATACAAAACTGAGACGTCCAGTTGCTGTTAAGCTTAATGTATTTTTTAATCCAAAGGTGCTTTACTTTATTAGACTAGGTAGAAAATCTAGCTTAGGGGTGCATTGAACCCATTTCTGATTGCCAAATTCAAGCTTGGATCTCGTTGTTGGAACTTCTGACTCCGTGTCACAGGACCGATGCGTGCTGGATGGATGGTGGAGCTGGCCAGCTGCGTTTTCTGTTGCAAGTACAACATCCAACGTACTTTTTTTGCTGGAGAGTGTTGCCATACACTGACTTTCTAAGGTGAAACGTCTAACTCCAGGGCAGCTACATCCTGAAGTGGGAGCTGGAGGCTGAAGGTAGGAGCGGCCGTTCGCCAGAAGGACTTTGGCACCCCTGGGCTAGGTAAAATGTCTACTTTTTTTCAAAAGTGATCAGGCACTAATCTCTGGGATTTTTAAGGATTGCACTACAGAAGAATGTAAAACTCTTCAAGCTTTCTGCACTTTTAGCAGACAGTGTCACTCTGAGACCAGTGCAAGAGGCAAAGAAGTTCCAACTTTTAACAATTGGCACCAGCAGGCTACGTGACTTAAGTACTCAATAAAAATCTTAAGTAAGTCTCTCCTTTCCCTTCCAAAAGAACACACACGGCAGTTTCGGTTCCTTCTGGAAACAAACTTGTGCTTCATTGTCTCACTTATTACTAGATAGTGCTGGGTTCCCAGCAGCGGAATAAACTTAGTTTCCAAGGGTCCAAGTCCCAGAGACTCCAGAGTCATAAAGGCTTCAAGGATATTTTCCTGTAATACACAAAACAACCTTTACGTCCTGTTACTGTATATAGGTCTCTTTCACAGAAACCTTATTATTCTGCTTTTGTAAATGAATTTTAAACCATCCTAAAAAAAAAAAAAAAAAAGAGAACTCTGGCAGCAGAGTTTGTAAGCTTTTGCTTTACTTTATATAAAAAATAAACAACCTTTGACTCCTACCCCAAGGCTTTTGCTACAGGATTCGGAAGTGGTAGAAGTCAAACACGTAAGAGGTAGTAAACTTCATTATTATCAAGACTTTGAAGGATTTGTTGTCAGCCTCCTTCGTTGCAATAGATTGTAGATGACTAGCTTTGGTGTTAGCTACGTAGCGTACGTCATTTGTGGGTGACAAACCTAAATTAGGATTTGAGAGGAAGCCAAACAAATCTTGGACTGCTAATTTGAAACAGTTTGGTCCTGTCTGCTTGAAAGAAGATCCTAATCCTCACGGCTCACCCCAGGAATCCGACAGCATTAAACGGGTGAGGCCTTCTCTTTAAAACATCTGACATAGAGCTATTTGCATCCTGTAATTCGGAAGACACCTTTAAAGTCTGAAGCCTTGTTTACACTTGGAGGTATTTCTTACACCAATTTGAACCACGCCAGGATGAGTAGGATTTGTAGGGGCGCAGCCGACTTCCGCTGGGAAGCGAGGGAAGTCGTATCCGAGGAGGAGGAGGAGGTTTTGCAGCGGTGCGGAGCTGCCCCGAGGAGAACGGGGCCTTGGCAGCGAAACGTCAGCATGAGGGGTAACGTGGTAGCTTGGCAGGCCAGACCTTCCTGGACAGTGTTCCCAGGACAGACAGGTTCTGGGCCATCCTTCAGCCCCGCTTGCTCAGCGGGAGGCAGGTGGGATGGGTGAGCGTCACCAGAGAGGCACGGGGACACGGGATGGCAAGAAACCCACCTCAGTCCGGGTAGCGATCTGCGGCTCCTAGCGGGTTTGGCTTCGTGGAAACCAAAAATCTAAATTTGCGTAACGTTGGGTTTAAAAAAAAAAAAAAAAAATCATCTTTTTTTTATTCCTATGCAACAAAAACAAAAATCAGTGAGGTTCGTGTGCTCGCAGCCCAGCTCACGCTCCCCGCCGGATGGCACGCGCCGTCGGAACGCGCCCGTTGGCTCTGCCTGCGTT